TGCTAGATTTCCGGGGAGCGCGTATGATCAAGATATTACTGGGAATGGTGGCTGAGACAACAGCATCGGACGGAATACACGTTTCGGTACTCATCAACATCGTCGAAGGAAATGTGTTATGTTCACACGCTGCAGCCCGCATTTTCGACCTCATACCGATGGAGGCAACGAGGCTAATCGCAGAGATTCGAACCCGTCGTCTCGGGTGTTTTCACAACGACAATCTTGGCAAGTGTATGATTCCAGTTGGCTGATAAAGAACGCCATCGATCAGCCACGGATTTGGTGTGTTCCCGTATTTCAGAACGATGGAAATAATATGCAGTACGCTGAAGAATTTGTTTATCATCATCTGGATGCTCAGGGCGTTTTTCTTGGTTTTGAATACTGTAGCTGATGAACATGATGGCCAAATAAATGCTTAATCATAAAACTATTTTTCATTTAACCTATTTCGGAAAAACGAAAAGCCCCTAAATTACATAAAGTTATCTCCAGGTATGCGCTGTCATACGTAAACGACCGATGGCTCGCTTTTGCGATCTTCGTGGCGTGGTCTTCAGCAAATGTAAATGAATGCCATACAGCAGTGAACAGAAATAGTTTCATGTCAATATCGCTTTTGAAGTTTTTTCTTCATATCTCTATTAATTTTACAGTGTATTTACAGGTTGGGTTAACTTATTATTAGTGAATTTTATACCATTGTCATTTGTTTCTGCCGATCTATGATGTTGAAGCATATGAACTTGTAGCAACTGTCGAACGGACGCTCGTTGATGGTTACGATGACATAAAGAAGCGCTGTAATAATGATATTCATGGCAATCATTAAGAGCGGAACTGGTGGATCTTCGTTGACCAATAGAAAATTAGTACCATTCCTCAATGCATTCCTCAAAATTGTTATGTCAGTAAGAAGTTAGCTAAGAACTTAGCTTATGGATATAATACAACTTACGAAATGAAAGTTTATATCAGCTTGATTTACGATGTTTCATTTTTCCAAAGTCAAGGTTGATATATTTGTCGTTTGGCGTAATATAAGCAAACAATAACAGAACATGATAATGCCATTGGCTGAATAACGGTTTACTGATGGAGGCAAACTAGCTACATAGACTACATGAGGTTTTATAAAAGCAAATCACGTCGCCTTTTGTAATACTGCTGATCTTCAGACACCGAGCAAACCAGTCCAACAATTAGAACACCTCCTATCCTCATTCAGAAATGCCGCTCTTCGGTTCATGAAGAGGCAGGCCACATTCTCTGCCAAAGACGTCTTCCGGATATCGATGACTATCAGTTAGCCTACAAACCACAGATGCAATGGTAATGTTTGTGTTTATCCCTAATCGATTCATTGTCACGTCTAGAAATAGCCTCTCCAAACTTATTGGGCAG